TTATTCTCCAGATAAATTACTCAAGTTTCAGCTGTTTGTGTTGGCTAAGATCAATTAGCTGTGGAGACTATCTTGGATTGGGTTGAGTTAAAGAGTTGCACATCCAATAATTACTCACTGAAAGTTTCATTAAAATTCATTCAGTGGTTCATAGAATATTTTGCTAACAGACTGGGATATTTAAACATAACAATTAATGGCAAAATGTCCTGATGCACGCTCAATAATCAAGGTAAATAAATCTGACAAGGTGAGCCAGGTCATCTGGACGGATTCTTTGTTGAAACGTTTCGTCTTTTATCCAAAATACTTCTTCAGTCTGAGGAGCTAAAACCAAATCAGTCTTGTAAACAGCACCTTCTCATAGTGGATCAACCAGTTTGCTGGTGACAGTCAAAAGACAGTCAACGTCCTCACTTTGCATCTGAACAACCATCAGCCTATCAATCGATGCTCTGGTGGATATTTGCTGTTCTCAGAGGGCTGAGTGATACAATAACAGCATTGTAAGAAGGTGACAGTTGAACATGGAGGTATCCGCCCCTGTTCAACGATGGATGATTTCTCTTCACAAAGATGGCTTCCTTTACTCCTCTCTCAAACGTGCATATTTTCATCCCTGAAAAAGTGACTACTGGCCTGCAGATGAGGTAGACCGCAGAGTCCTGGCCTGATGATGTTGCTCTTCTGTGCTGGGTCATCCTTTTGGCCAGTGGCTGTTTTGTTTCTCTAATGTAGAACTGATCACAGTCCACTTGGCATTGAACAACTTACACAATATTACTCTGTTTGTGTTAGGGGATTGGATCTTTTGGGTGGACCAGTCTTTTCTGTAACATATTTTGGCATTTGAAAGCCACTGGGACATTATGTTTAGAAAATAAACATCTCAGTTTCTCTGAAACTCCCCTAACATACGGAATGACCACTGGTCTGGGTTGCACCTTTTCAGAGACACCACCAAGTCATTGGTTCAGGTATATTGATGACACCTACCGGTAATCAAATTTCAGCAAGTCCACTATTTCACTGTGGAAAAATATATAAAGTTCACATGAGAACAAGTAAAAAATGGCAGGTGGGTTTTATTGGACTGTTAGGTCTCAGTCTCTGATGGAAGACATTTGGAAACTAATGTGTACCACAAATTCACCTACATAGACCAATATTTGTGGTTTGACTCCCATGAGTCCCATGAGTTTGACTCCCATCACCTGCTGGAGCACAAGTTAGGAGTCATCAGGACTCTGTACCACAGAGCGGACAGCATCCCCACTAAAGGGCCCGACATACTCCATTGGAAGTGCCGGAATCAGCTCTTATTATTGCATGATGAAAATTGCATAATTTTGTTTGCAGAGCAGCTTCACCTGCCCCTTCTTGAGACACGGACTGGGCCAAGCTTTTTCTCACAGGCTTATAGGCCAAGTATTGTGTGATTGTGATTGGTCAGAAGTTTGTGGGCATGTTCGTCAATGAGGAAATGCGCTCGGACATTCAGCTGTACGATTCTTTAAAAACACTAAATTAGTCCAATGGCCAAAAACTCCGGGATGGAGATAATGTAGACATTGTGTATGGAGGAGTCTGTCTGCTGAAAAGCGTAGCACTTTGAGGTCAAACGGTGGATGCATGGACGGAGTGGAGACTCTGGTGGGAAGAAACTTGCATGGTGATGTATACTGCAGTGGTGGTGTGGGGGTTTCCCATGAGCTCTACGTCTGTGTCTCATAGACTAGGAAAGGTGTGTGCGAAAACAAACGTCCAGCAACCACATGACCGTGAGTCGACAGTTCGGCTACGGATAAAGTATGCTGGGGCCATAACTCAGGAGCCAGGGAGAAGGAGAAATCCCATACAAGATAGGCCCTGGAGCAATGTGGATATCCTAATTGGGACTTCCTGAAAGCAGAGAATAAATCCAAACAGGACTCCAGCCAGTCATCAGGTGAAAAGGAGGAACCCAGACCCAGACCAGTGGTCATTCCATATGTTGCAGGAGTTTCAGAGAAACTGAGATGTCCCAGTGGCTTTCAATGTGAACAGGTGAAAGAGAACTTAGAGAGATGGAGGTATGCACTTGAAAGAAGAGGAATGAAAGTCAGCCATAGTAAAACAGAGTACATGTGTGTGAATGAGAGGGAGGCAGGTGGAACAGTGAGGCTACAAGGAGCAGAGGTCACAAAGGTGCAGAACTTCAAGTACTTGGGGTCCACTGTCCAGGAAAAAGAGGAGTGTGTTAAAGAGGTGAAAAAGAGAGTCCAGGCAGGATGGAGTGGATGGAGAAAAGTGGAGTGATTTGTAACAAAAGGGTGTCAGCAAAGGTCAAAAGAAAAGTCTACAAGACAGTTGTGAGACCAGCTATGTTGTACGGACTGGAGACAGTGGCATTGACAAAAAGACAGAAGAAAGAACTGGAAGTAGCAGAAATGAAGATGTTGAGGTTCTTCTTAGGAGTGAGAAGGATGGATAAGATTAGGAATGAGATCATCAGAGGTACAGCACACCTTCAACAACTGGGAAATAAAGTTAGAGAGGCCAGACTGAGATGGTTTGGACATGTCCAGAGAAGCAACAGTGGGTATATTGGTAGAAGGATGTTAAAATGCAGCTGCCAGGAAAAAGACAGAGGAAGACCAAAGAGGACATATGGATACAGTTAGAGAGGACATTAAGGTAGTTGGAGTGAGGACAGAGGATGCAGAGGACAGAGTGAGATGGAGGAGGATGACTCACTGCGGCAACCCCTGAAGTCGCCACAGTGAGACCCCTGAAGAGGGAAAAGCAGAAAGAAGGAGGAGTCCCAGTGGTTTTCAAACCCCAAAAAACATTACAGCAAAGACTGGTTCATCCCAAAGATCCAGTCCCCTGGCACAAACAAGAGTATTGTGTATGCTGTTCAGCACCAGGAGGGATGTGATCAGTTATACATCGGGGAAACTAAATAGCCACTGGCCAAAAGGATGGCTCAGCACAGAAGAGCAGGATCATCAACCCAGGACGCTGAGGTCTACACTCATGGGCCAGCAGTCACTCTTTCAAGGATGAAGATGTGCACATGTTTGAGAGAGGAGTAAAGGAAGGCATCTTTGTGATGAGAACCTGCCCATCGTTAAACGGGGGGGGGGGGGGGATCTCTGTGTTCAACTGTCACCTTCTTACAGTGCTGTTATTGCAAGTATCAATCAGCCATCTGTGAATAGCAAGCAACCATCAGGGCACTAAAGATCAAATGTTAGGCTGATGATCCTCCTTTTGCATGTGAACAACTAGTTTTGACTGTCCCCAGCAAACTGGTCGACCTATTATGAGGAGGTGCTGCTTATAAGACTTAGTTTGTTGCAGCTCCTCAGACTGAAGGTCTTTTGGATAAAAGACAAAAAGTTTCAACAAAGAATCCATCCAGAAGACCTGATTCAACCTTGTTAGAATTAATGGCAAAGTTTTATAAACACATCTAGTCCAATCAGTTAGTGCTAAGAGTATGTGTGCTGAGGAAAACTCTCAGCTACAAGTATTGGTAGGTCAAATGTTATAATAATGTGTATGTATTGTCATCATTGTAAGTTCCCATGCAATGGCGAAATTGGCTCTCTGCATTTAATCCATCCACCACCAGGTGGAGCAATGGGCAGCTATTGAAAGCGCCCGGGGAGCAACTGGGGATAAGGTGTCCTGCTCAGAGACACCACAAGATGTGTAATGACCGGGGATCGAACCCGGGACCTTTGGGTCCCGAGTCAACTTCCCTGTCCCTGTGCCATCTCAGCTGAAGAATTACCTGAGTTTTAGCTATTTTAGGGTTTGCCAAGTTGCTTATCAATGGTAGCCATCGTGAATGGAGTTGACTCCTGAAGTTTATCAGTTGTAGAGGTATGTTTAGAAATTACAGTAGTTTCTTAAAGTTTTATTAAAATGTGTCCACTGGTTCAGGAGATATGTTGTTAATGTTACAGACAAATACAAATTCACACACTATTAATTTCACTGACAGAAGATTAAAAAGTTAAAAGGTGGGAAAGTTTTAAAGGAACATTCATTCACTCAAACTTTATTTATACAGTTAGTCTCACTGAGTCACGAGGACTCTTTTTCAAGAGACCTGTTTTAGACAAACCACAGATAAGGTACAGACAACCATAAATAGCCACAAAATGCATATAAAATAAAAAGTAAATAAAAGTACTGTAGTGATATAAAACAAAATAAAATCAAGCTACATTATGAAACAAGGTAAAATATTAAAAATAGGAACGTGTCTGCATTGATTTTTGCATTGAACTTAACAGTTGTTTAAACTCCTTCAGAGAGAGCAAAGTGGACAGCTTCAGATGTTTTTGCAAGATGGTCCAGGTTACAGAGCAGAGTACGAAAAGGCCTTTTTGACGAGCTCAGTTCACACTGCGGGGACTAAACGTGCACTAAAACCTATCCTAGCTGTCAAAAGATCACAACACGCTCATTAGAAAGCACTTTCACCATTTCAGCCGGTGTGTTTTTACGCTCAGGCCAGTTCGTCCAGTCACATGCTCACCTTTGTGATCCTGCTGTAAACTCATTGTCACATGTTGGGTCCAGCAGCTCTTTGAGAACACATTTAAAACCACTCAACCGAACTTGATGCTGCATACAAAAGACAGCTGCTAATCTTGTGGAAAAATGTGCTGTATTAGAAAGACTTGTGCACATATAGGTTCACCATGGGGGAGCAGTGACCTGAGACCACCAGAGAGCTCTCAGCATCTCTGTGGCAATCATTAAACATCAGCCAACTAAGGACAAAGTCTTCTGGAGAGCAACATACACGATTCTGGTCCCTGTGCACAAAAACAAGCTTTTTGAGATCGTTCATAACACAACCATTGTGTGATTTAAAAAACAAAAGAATGGCAGCCAATTGAAAAAAGTGCCACTGCTCCACTCCTTTTATGTTTTATATCTAATGAAAAACATAGATCTCCTGTCATTTAGGTGTGCCTCGTTACACCTGGATGACTTACTGAAAGCAGGAGTTGTGCCAGGTGTCCTGAAGTCCTTTCATGTGAAACGAGTCCTCAATGACTCCTCCACAGCCCGCACAGTAACAATTATCTGTCAAAGAAAGAAAAAACAGTCTAAATTAGGCTCGTAAAGATACAAATGTCTAAAAGTAGTAATAGCTCATGAAGCTAAAACATAACTGTGTCCACCTTCGCACTGAAAATATAGCCTACTTACTTTCTGGTTCCTCCATGTACTCTCCGAGAGCGTCGTCGAGATTTATTTTATTTATTTATTTCTGTCCGAGTCCTTTTCACAGACTTTTCATTCTGAAGCAATGGGATAAGAAACTTGCAGGCTCCCTGCTCTAATCGTATCAAGAAGAAAACAAATTCATTTAAAACCTCCCACAGAAACCAGCGAACAACAACCTCTGCTGAATCGTCTACCCTGAGAGAGTGACGTAATGCCGCGGCCACATTCCTATACGGAAAGCGGAAGGGCTCAGTTGCAGCACCTGGAAGCGAGAGGTACCTCGGAGGAGAAGGAATGATTCCACCATCTGCTGGTAATATTTAAGTACTACATACAGAACGCAAACAGATTCAGAAACAGCACTATAGGCCTCACTCCCTTTTCACACATTTCTGGTCAAGCAGCATATATCCCAAAGATTAGTCAGTCAGAACAGTTCAGTCATTTCTCCAGGCAAAAAAAAAAAGAAGTTTTTTTCTATACAAACAATCAAATAAATATATAAATCCTTCTTTTTCATTGTGTTTTCTCTATTAAACACTGATGAGAGAATTTTAGGTCCTGATTTGAATTTAAATCCAGCAACATGTAATGACATTCATAGTAGTAATAATAAACAAAATAAAAAAATAAAAAATGAAAATGTCCATCGTCATGAGACATGTTCATATCTCCTAAAATGTCTCCTATGTTTTATTTCTCACATTTTTCACACTCACTAGAATCATAAAGCCCAAGCTGTCTTCTAAAATAAAGATTTTTCTGTCTTTGTACATATTCAATCTATTTTTGGGAAGTTTGATACATATTATCCTCTAGAAATCAACATGTTCTTTCACTTCTTCTCTGGTTGGAGTTTACCGGAGTGATTTTGCCTTAATGTCTGTGTTTCATCTTCCAGACAAGAGGACTATGACTAAATGAGATGCAACAAGTTAAATCCAGAATTATGTAAAATCTCTGTGAACATGGGCATTTATTTTGGAAGAAAGTGTATTTTTGACGCTCCAGCTGATTTAACCGAAGCGAGGGTGGCACGCTGTGTTTAGGGAGCACAATTCTCTGAGTTACTAGGAAGTCGAAACAGAAGCCTCAAAGATTCTATCTGACGAAAACGTCAACGCCCATGTACATACATCTATATGCTGATGACACCATTATCACATCCAGTTCCTCTCTGTCTACTGCTCTGTCTTCATTGTAGGCTAGCTTCATTAGGATCCAACAAGCTTTAAATACAGAAAAAAAGTACAATTTTTAATTTAAATCTACCCCAAGTTGAATGAAAGTTAGACATAGTTGAAAGTTATGCTTTCAAAAGTAAAAGCCAGCAATGCCTTTCTTTATCTCGATAAATATTCCTTTACACACTCTGCAAAACAGATTTAGGTTAAAATGACAATTCTCCCAATCTGGAACTATGGTGATATGGTATATAGGTTTACTATAAAAACTGTCCTTCGCATACTGGATGTTATTCACCTTGCTTCTAACTGGTTTGTAACTTAAGCTTCATTTAATAACACCACTGTCATCTAGTGGCTGCAGCAGGCGATGAGACCGCAGAGGCTGCAGCAGGTGTTGGGACCACAAAGGAGGGAGTTATAGCAGACAAAGGAAACACAGAGGAGGAAGCTGCAGCAGCTGAGAAACCAGTGATGGTGGCTGTGGCAGAAGATGGATCAATGATGAGAGCTGGGGCAGCTGATGCACCCATGGAGACCACAGCAGAAGATACACCTGCAGAGGATGCAGCAGCAAGCGATGAACCAGAGATGGAGGGAGCTGTAGCAGATGACGAGGGACCAATGATGAGGGGAACTGCTGCTGACGATGAGACCACAGACGAGGGAGCCACCAAAGGATTGGGACCCACCAGAGCAGTAGCAGAGGCAGAGCATGAGTCGTCGTTCCTGACACTCACAGAGAGGCCCGAAGAGGTGGGTTGCACAAAGGAGGTGGGAGATCGTCCCCAACACCTACGGAGACACAGGAAGGTGGATCATCATCCCTGACACCCACCGAGACACATGGAGGTGGGTCGTTGTCTTCGACACCCAGGGATACACATTGGGAGTGGTACCCTGAAGACTCTGGAGAGTCAGCCTCACCGGGTTGTTTGAGGAATTCAGGACATGCAGCGGACACAGGGCGCTGCTTTTTTGGCTGAAGAGGGCTCGGCAGCTTCTTTGGTTTAGGAGGGCTTGGCTACTTCTTCAGCTGAGGTAGGCTCAGTTGCTTCTTTGGCTGAGACCGGAGCAACTGCCCCTGTGTCTGGGACTCAGGAGAGTGGGACCCTGGAGAGAGGTACCCTGAAGACTCTGGAGAGCAGTGCCCTGAAGATTCTGGAGAGTGATTGCTGACACGGAGAGAACTAGCTGGAGAAGGCAACCAGACTTTGTTCTGCCATTGGGCCCTCCCATGACGGTGGTGAGACCTAGGAACAGGGGCAGACTATGGCTTGTCAAAGGGCTCAGGCTCTTCCACTGCTGGCCACTCAGATGACTCAAGAGGTGAATGGGATAGAAGATAGCGAAGTGCTGTGGAGCTGCAAGGCACCGGAGGCAAGCGAGGTGGTGGAGAGTAGGAAACATACAAATGCTGGGCAGATTGACCAAAACTGAGACCTCCTCCTCTCCTCTTCATCCACCAAAAGAGGCAATGGGAAGATCTCAATCTCCAGGTTGTGGTGTCTTTGTCTCCGGGCAGGTCTGGTCTGGAAGCCACTCCACCGAATGATGAACTGCGCCTCTTCCTTCTCCCGCTCCTCTTGCTCATGCTGGGCAGTCTTAGTGGCCCCTCTGGACAGAAACTCAGAAAAGCCACTGTCTGCTGCAGGTTCAGTATGGTCCATGGATTCTATCATGATTGGTGGAAAGTTGTACTCAGGGTGCAGACAGACCCAGAAGAATTTGAAGATAAAATAAAAAAAAAAATTAAAAACAGGTTTATTTAACAAAACATAAAAACAAATGCTAGCATGGCAGCAAAACTTACAGCAAGTAATTTTCACTGGCAAACATGAAGTTATGTGTTATGCATGCAGCTAAACTGGCATGGAAACTTCTGCATTTCCATGTAAACCTGTTCTTTTTTGTTTATTCATCACAATAAACATAAAAAAAGCATAAACATTTTCAGAAGTTGTTCTCATGTAAAGGGCAGCACGGTGGCACAACTGGTAGAGCTGCTGCCTCTCAGCGAGCTGGTCCCCGGTTCAAATCCCGGTCTGGAGGCCCTTCTGGGTGGAATTTGCATGTTCTCTCTGTGCATGCTAGGTTTCCTCCAGGTATTCCGGTTTCCTCCCACAGACCAAAAACATACATGTTAGGCTGATTGGTAACTCTAAATTATCTCTAGGTGTGAGTGAGAGTGTGAACGGTTGTTTGTCTCGTTTGTCTCTATGTGTCCCTGTGATGGACTTGCGACCTGTCTAGGGTGTCCCCCGCCCCTCACACAGTGATTGCTAGACATGGGCACCGGCGACCCCCATGACCCAAAATGGAAGAAGCGGGTAAAAGATAATGGATGGATGTTCTCATGTGAACAGGATATTCAAATGGAGTTTCTACATTTGTCCTTTGATTTCAGGGATGTATTGACTGTATCATTGACCAACTCATTCACTAGTATCCTGCCTGGTTTTGTGATAGTCTCAGTTATTGGCTACATGGCTCATATTCATAATCTCCCAGTGGACACCATAGCTACCGATGGTAAGATTCAAGGGAAGATTCAAGGACTCTCATATATTTCTTTGATTTTAGAGATTTTATTCTGACAAGAAGGGCTTCATTATGACGAAATATCGAAATACGGACAGACTAAAAACAACATTCAAACAACAAAACAACAAGATCGCCGGTTCACGCCCCGGCCCCGACAACATCAAAATTGTGGGTGGGGTAAGGTGAAACACCCACACTTGCCCCCACCCTCATTCGCCCCACTCTGGGCCCATGAGCAAGGCCCTTAACCCCCACCATGTGCTCCCTAAACAGGTCTCTCTTGAAAATGAGTTCTCGTGGCTCAATGAGACTAACCTGTATAAATAAAGGCTAAATGAAAAAAAAACAAAAAACATTGCTGTGAGCTGTATTTGATTTTATTTGCCCCTGGAGTTTTTTTGTTTGTTTGTTTGTTTTGTTTTTGTTTAGTTTTTTTAGTTTTTTTTTTTTTTTTTTTTCCCCTATGGGAAGACAAGTATCCCACACATTTTAGGAGAGGATAAATATTTGTACTCTTCAGATTTTTTAAGTTAAACCTCAGAGATTTCTTGTGTATTTTCCTCATAAGAAGCATCACTCAGTAGCAGCAGCTGTTTAAGGTTTCTGTCTCCAGAGAGTTTTCTTAAGGTTAAAAACTATAATTGTTGACATATTTATTTACTCCAGCTGCACAAACTGTGTCAGCACAAGATGGCAGTGCTGTTACTTCACAGCAAGGCGGTTCTGATTCTGAACCTGCCAAGCACTTTTTCTGAAAACAGTTTTAGTAAAAAAAAAGTTTGTCACTTTGAGTTTTAGAGTCCATAAAAAAGTGTCTTACACTCAGGAATCCTACTAAATCTGTAGTCTGGGAAATCGTGAAGAAACAAAAGTAATTTGAAAGAAAAACAGACCTTCTGTTTCAAGCAGAGGCCATGGTCATTTTCACACTTTTGTATCTCAAAAGACTGTTTTGTTCATGTTTTCTAGGTAATCATAAAACCACAGTTCAGTTCTGATGATTATTTTTTCATTGTCAGTGCATGTGCTTTAAGCAGCTGATTAAAAAAGCCTGCTGTGAAGATGAGAGTTGTTTGGTCTCTACTCACTAAAAACCTCCAAAACTCACTACATCCAAACTTCACGTGAAGCTTAAAGTGAGTCTTAAATTATCCCAAAGCTAATTCATCACAGGGGAAACAGCCAACAATGGACGTTTTATTTAATTAATTTACTTATTAATTTAAAAGCCACGAAAACAAGCGATTCAGACTACAAGTGGGGTGTAATAAAGCTTAGTCTAATACATTTTGGCAAATTAGACCTAGCTAGAATGACTAAATGAATGGTATATTTTATCAGCCTTCAAATGAGATGACTGAGACAGGTTAGATTGTGCTGCTCTGTAAAGTTAATGTTTGAACAGACATAATTCAAGTTAAGGAATATAACAAAGGCCATGCTCAATAATCCAGGTATACAAGGATTATAG